CGTTGGGGTCCACCTGGTGTCCGGAATCCACCATATGCGCTAGAATAGAGATAAGAGGAGAAAGCCCGTGTGTTTGCAGGCTGGAAATGTACTGTTTGTTTCTCAAGCTCAGTTTCCTTCTCTCTCATTTACTCTTCGGGCTATAACAAGTAATGCCGTCCAGTGTGATTCGGCATTTCTTCGCGCCTCCCTATACAACGGGTTATGCCGTTTCCTGATCAGCCGTCGCCGGTATTGTGCCTCGGCAACTTAGCCTTACACTTCAGCACTGCGCGCGCGCGTCTGTACTGACACTGATAATGTATAGTGTTATTCTACTTCTAGGCTGACCTCGAAGTCCGTTTGATTCGTTATCCCCGATTGCGTTCTATCGACACCTGATTCTGTATTTACGACGGTGGTGCTGATGATACGGGTTCTGCACTCTCTCTCTCTCTATTTAGGTGCAGATTTGGAAGCATTTTCGGAGATGTGTCATAACCTGCTGGTGGACGTCCAACAGCGTCTCATCTTCCGTGCGCATGTCTACATCAAATCACAGATCCTAGATTACGCACCCAGTCCCGGTGATCTGGCCTATCCTGAAAAACTGGAAATGATGGAGGTAATAATCTCCTTAGTCCCCATCATGTCCAACGTTATTTGTTTCTTCTTTTTATGTCTGATTGCTGTGTTGGTGCGTAGGCTGCACGCATTTAATGCTTTGTCGTGAAGCTGCCTCCCTTAACCCCTTACCCTTTGCCGTAGGGCATACTTGGGGCTGCTGACCTGCGTCTCAAAGCTTCAACCTTGTCATCCAGATACCTTCATAATCACCAACTTTCACAATGATTCCACAAGGCTTAGTTCGGACTAGAGAGGTTAACAAAAATCAACTATTGCGAAACTTTTCTGGCTTCATTTTCATGTCCCTGGTGTCTCCTAGGTATTTGGCTTGCAACTCACATTGACCCACTAAAACTGAAGCAAAATAAGGGTGTACGTAACCCCTCTCATCCCGTTCTTATTAACAAAAACGGCAAAACATAGTTGGCCGTGCCCCTTAGATATGTGGCGGAGTGCCATAATTCTCCCCCCTTCATTCTTTAAGGCTCGCTGCCCCATAGTCGTGTCGTCACAAACAACTGTTCCAATGCTTTCTTTCACTGGCGTCCCCGCCCCCTGAGGCTTGACCTCGCAGCTGCTTCTGGCTAACTGATAACAGCTGCGTCAGCGTCCCTCGTCCTTCGGCTTTCCTGCATTCCGGACAGTTGTACTCAGCTTAATAAGCGCACCTTTCTAAGAGCCACTTAACACGACACCTCTGGCCAACGCAGCAAGGGGCCTTTGCAGGCAACATCCGCTCGGGCTACTTGCAACACACTAATAGCAGACCAATTGAATTTGCTTCACAATCCTACTAAAGCAACTGTCATCACCCCACACAACAGACATTCGACACTCACAGGCCTGGCTGGACGCAGTCAGGACTAGCCCTGGCTCCGCCATTGGCCACTGCCACATGAGACTGCAACTGAGAGTTCTGTATACAATAAACCTCTCATTCTAGTGACTTTTGCCTTTTAACTTCTACCTGGAAACTTCGACCTGATGATTGTAGTGATCTAGGCACAACCACGACCTAGACCCCTACAGATACCACTAGTCCCAGGATTCTGTCCTACAGGACCGGTGTTAATAGGGGTTTTATGGTTGGGTCATATCGCAGGAAAAAAATTAATTAAAAATTGGAGCGTATAGCAACAGAAAGTAATATGAATAATTATTTTAATAACATAATATTAAAAGGACAAATAGAACTAATAGGAAACAAGAACTGCACAAAACTACCTGCAGCTAGCCTACACACCAATATCCACTCTACATGGAAGAGTACCCGTCGCTTTACCGGTCCATCTTCATATCCTGTCTGAAAGTGGCCCATCTAACTGTAGCCGATATTGTTTTTTTTTCTTCAGAAAATTGCCACTGGCATACAGCAGTCGCAGTCGGAGGCTGGTCGTGGTGGTGGTGGTGGGAACGCGTCGACCGAGGGGACAGATGG